TTCTTATATATATATATATTTATTCATATGAAATTTGAGTATACGAAGGAAAATGTTTATGAAACGTATTAATTTTATTTTTAGATCTATTGTACATTGATTTTATACAAATTCCCTCTCCATATATTTAGTATGCAAAAGTGTAAAAAAAACATTTGACTTCTCTGTCTAAACTTGTATTATCATTTTAAACTTAGAGACAGATTGAACGATTTGGTCGTACTTTTTTGTATTGTTACAAGAAAATGACCAACGCAGAAACAATATCTCATTTTTGGAGGGGGCAAATCATACTTTGTAAAACAAAACATTCTGATTAAAGCAAACTTTAAATTAGTGACATCATAGAAATGCAGGATTTTTTATTGACCACATATGTGTTATGTTTCAGGACGTTTAAATAAGCATAAAACCGACATTCATATGGAGACCAACTGTGACCCTCTGCTATGCCGACTTGTATCTTTTATACTAATGAGGCAAACGTCACAAGAAGCTTCTAGAAATAATGAAACAGCCTGGTATTATAATGACTATATAGACTAGCTGCATCTGTCCAGATGAACTTTAAATAAACTTAAGGATATCACATATACTGTTAAATGTTCCTCGTATTTTGACTTACATCGAGAAAAATCTAGACAAAAGAGTATTTGAGTTTCCATTCTGTGCAGCAGCATTCCTGCAATATTATTAATAGTATAATGGTTTACTTTTACAAATTGTGACTTTGATGGAGAGCTGTCTCATTGGCACTCATACCGCATCTTCTTATATCTAATTAGCCCGTTAGCTTTCTCTCTTTCTTTTTATATATGCGGTATGGGTTTTGCTCATTGTTGAAGGCCGTACAGTGACCTATAAATGTTAATTTCTGTGTCATTTGGTCTCTTGTTGAAAGTTGTCTCATAGACGATCAATCATACTACATCCTCTTATTTTTGTATTTATCTCCCAGTTGATACGAAATTGAATTTATCATGATTCCTATGAACGATGATAGTTGAACTTGTTTACAAGGAAGCTTTTGCATGAAGGGTTACAATAGTAAAGTTAAAGTCATCCCTTGTAAAGTTTTATGTATGGATGCCATTATGATTTCGTTGACTATAATGGATCACTATGTCAAAAGGAACATACACGGAGTCAATTACAATCTAGATCAATGATCAACAAATCGAAATATCAAAACGTGTTTCTGAGATCTTAAATCGCAATTATAGTGGTCAAACAATTAACATTAATTAGAGTTTCATAAAGCATTCCATCTTATTGGTGTTATACACACTAGTTGATGATACTGTAACGAAATCGAGCAATGTTCTTTTTAAAGTATTTCAATATGCAAATGATATTATACTTGAAAGAAATTTCTAAACTATTTCTATATAATCGCTTTATCATTTTTGAATCAAACAAATCAACTTAACAAAGACGTAGGAAGTTTTGCAACTACTTGTAAAGGAACACCCAAGCAATATATAAAATCATAACTCATAAACTTTCAATTTGTGAATTAGTCACTAGTAAACTAAGTTTAAGAAACACCCATTTATTCTACAATATCTAAGATCTTCAGTCAGTTATATTGACAGTACATCAGTCCCATGATTCTGAAAAGCATATATGATATAACAGATGTAGAAGGTAAGATATCTTCTAATTTTCTGTGTATTTGCCCTGGCGTTACATACATGTACCATTCGGAAAACAGTACGGACAATTATCGAAACGAAAAGGATCTCATATCCCTTTAAATTTCTTGATATCGGGAAATTCGTGTAACATTGTGCTTGCTTGCATGGCGCTCAGGTTACATAGGTGTTATGACTTCAAGCAAACCGCCTGTTTGCTATTTGTCAGCTAAGCACGTGATATGTTTAAATAAGAGTTAAAACTGATAGAATTATAATCAGAATAAATTAATATGTCCATGTCCTCTATACTACTAAAGGAAGTCCCCGATTTCATTGAGCCGCATCTCCTCTGAAACCATACAAAGTCGGAAATATTTGTGATATGACGTATAAATGTAGTGTTTTGTACTTCCTTAATTTGTCTGTGAAACAATCTATTTTCCACAGAAAACGCGATTTTTTTTTAGAAATAACTCAATTCGGAGACCGTTATCGATCCGTTTCTTATAAGCTTTCGGGCATACTCAGTCGACGTACAGCCCGCGAAATTAAAAAAAAACTCTCTGTTTCAACACTTGCCCAATTGTACCGCGATTTAGAGGGCATCTTCTAGTATATATAAATAGAGGTCGTGATTCAAATGTCAATGAGACAACTCTCCACGAGTGACCAAATGACAAATATATATTAACAACTATACGTCACCGTACGGCCTTCAACAATGGTTTATATGTATACGTACAACATATTCTGATGTAAGCCATTAGTTTTAAAATGCTTGATGATATATGTGTTCCTTTTAGAGATGTAACGGCCTCGGTGGTCTCATGGTAGCGTTCCCCCCGAGTGCTGGAGGTCGGTGTTTCAAACCCGGCCGGGTCAAACCAGAGACTTTAAAATTGGTATTTGCTGCTTCTCCGCCAAGCATCCGGCATTAGGGAGTAAAGGCAAAGACTTGTCGGCTGGTAGTCAGAATAACGTGTCCGGGTAGGTAACATGTATTTTTGTTAATTTTACTTTTTGATCTAGCACGTTCAAAATCCGGCTAAGCGTGTCGGTCTAGTACAAAGCAAGGTAAATATTCATATTACATTAACATGTTTTCGTCCTGAATACGCATTTTAATTTGCCATTGGACTTTAAGCAGCCAGCAATCCATCCACCAATCCTTTTAGTGATAAAGATATTACAACTTTTTATGGTAATCTCCGACCCAAAATTATTGAGAATTCCTTCTTCCTTATTGTTGCTTTTCTTTTTCTTTATGGTTATGGATAATGTTTCTTTGGCTCCTTCAATTTCTTACAGAGAACATTTCTCATTTGTATTCAATATTTGTCTTATTTTACTTAATTATTGCCATCTATCCTATTCGTGAATATTTTTTGTCAGGTTATGTTACTTCTATTTTAAAATTATTATTTGCATTGCCGTTTCAAGCTGATATACTACACAAAATGTCACCAAAATAACAATAAGAAGAAATTGTTCAAGATTGTGTACAAAATAAGTACATTATATTTGTTTTCTTTTGATTTACGGAAGTTGATAAACTTTAGGTTACTGACAACAAATAAGATAGACCTTGCCTTTGCTTCCTTATTTGTATAAGTGGCGAGCTGTTTATTTCCGCGTTTTCACTTTTGAATACAAAAACTTCATAAAATGCTTGAAACCTAAATGCAAAAACCACTTGGAAAAGGTCAATAGGAATCACGGATTAATACTTGTGGTCATGCATTTGTTTTTCCTTGCTTCGCCTGCTGGAAATGATCTAAATGGGCTAAAAGACAAAGTGAGTAGTTAGACTTATAATAGACAACGGTTGTTGAAAATTGGAAAGGGAGTCCATCACATGGAGGGGCATTACGTGTATAAATGTATTAAATCCAGAAGTCATTTAGTATCTTTAATAGTACTTGAACCATCCATGGCAGACATATTACACTGCAATACATCTGTACGAAATATTCATTTTGCTGAAATACAAAAATTAAAACTGTAAGTTATATATTGATCAATCAAAAAATAGAAATGTTCAATCTTGCTTGAAATACTTGAAAATAGTTTGAAGAGTCAAAATTCAAGCTCTGTCTGTGAGTTTACAATGCGGAAACGAAAATATTTGCAAGATCTAAAGGTGCAAAAGTATAGAACGGTGATTGACTCACTACCCAAATCCGAATTCGTAGAGCGAGTTTTGGTTTTAATCATTGTGCATGAGTTTTATAAAAAGTTGCACGAGGCAAACTAAAGTTAAGAATGTATTAACGAAAACAATTACAATTTTCCAAGTTGGAAAGAGACATAGCTCTAGAACAGTAAGTTACTCACTATCCAAATTTGAACTCTGTCTGTGTGTTTTGTTTCTAAGCATTGTGTGTGAGTTTCACAAAATTTGGATGAAGCAAATTTAAGTTAAAGTAAGGGACAAGGGACGGCCGGACGGACAAGTGTAACACGTAATGCCCTCTTCGCCTAGAGGCAGGGGCAAAAAAATATTTTTGAAAAAAGGACTTGCATCCAATATGTCTTATACCTCTAACGGAAATAAAAATATTAAGACAAAATAACAACGCGAAAGGAAAATAAAAACTCTAATTCACCTTCCTTTATGTTAAAAAAACTATGTTTATAAATTTTATCTGCGAGGATGTTCAGTCTGAATTCTAAATCAAAATTTTATATCAGGATTTATATTTTCCGCCTTTCGTTTGTTTGTCATTTGTTTAATTCCGTGGACAGCTTTATGAAAGTGCATTATGGTTCCCATATAGGGAGTTTCCCTTGTTTGATATCTTTTGAATGTAAATGGAATCCAACAGATTACTTTTATATTTAATAACATACATAACCATATCATTTCCGAGTAAGAGCAACATTATTGTTTTCATCCGGCATAGGACAATTTTGATGGGAGTAATCAATTTCAATTAAAACTAAGGAAAATATTTTGAAAATGTATATATTATATATCTTATAGTACATGACTTTTTTGTACTTTGATATATGATTAAAAATATTGCGGACATGGTATCATATTTTTTTCTATTCTCTAAGCCTATCAAAACTATCCTACTTGAGTATACAAGAAATCAATCTTGAACTTAATTAATATTTGATTCCTTAATTTGGAACATTGACATACGTATTTTCAACTAATGGCTATTTCGACAAAACTTGCAGTTTTTTTTGGCAGTGGGCATTTAATTTGTATCTTCAAAGTAGCAGCTCGAGAGTCGATTTCCAAAAGAATTGTCGTCCTTGCATATTTATCATATGACGAGTTATATTTAAAATTTAATTTAAATCGTTACAGTCATGTAACAGAGCGCGACTTTTAAATATCTCATGAATTTTGTAGAGGGATATTTTCATTTGTCATAGCAAGGTAAGTTACCTTTTTAAATAACAATTTATCTTTTTTAAAATTCGTTTCTATCGGAAATATTTAAAGTGAGGTTAGGTTTTTCATTAGTATGGTTGTTCATATATTTGTTAATATATCTGCCGTAACTTAGTTTGAATACATACATGACATTTGAATTGAAATATATGCGTGGTGTTCATGTATTTATTCGTAATCCGAGCATAACATTATGATTTCCGTATTTCTGTGATATTTAGAATGACTCAACTTATTATGCATTATGGCCAAAAATGATATGCATACTAATCTTTTGTCGGATATCTTTGATATGAACTATCATGTAAGAAGTCTAAGGTATTTTTCAACAAAATCAATGTTCTCATACTACCATCTGTTTAGAGAATTTACGACGTATAAAATATTTATGCAACTGATTGTCACAAGCCTGATTTTGTTACATTATTGGGTTGGAACGACTTTACAAACTGTAAATAAAAATGACTTGAACACTCCCGTTTCATTTCTTTGATGCATCTAATCATAGCTAAAATGGTAGTGTTTTTATTTACCTCCCACGTATAAGGTTAAGACAGAAGACACAAAGGGGGCAATCAAAAGTTTTAAGTCCCATGAAAATGACAACACCATGGCATAAAGACAACAATAACAAAACAATACACAGAAAAGTAAAGATTGAGCATTATGAATCCCATTAAGTATATATATCAGTCGTGAACTCAGGTATTCCGGAAGGGTTGTTCATGACATGCGAGTAAATATCTGGTGTTAAGTCTCATTCAGTAATATTACAATCGAGGAAAAGAGGAAGTCTTAGAGATTGTGGTTGCGACAAGTGGAGCTTATCCGTTGTCATCGGTCAACAAACCTCCTTAACCGATATAACCAAACGAACGTCAATGAGGGCTGTAGTTGTTTATAATTATGTTCTAAATTTATCGACGGAATTAAAGGAAGGTTTATGTTATAAATTATGTCAGTGCCGGATCAGTGACTATAATGAGCTGATGATACTTTGAAAGGTTATAGTCCAGCAGCTTAAATATCGACCCAGTACTTGATAATTAAAAAAAAACTATAAATTGTATGCATCAAAAGCGCTTTTCTAGATCTACCTTTATCAGGATCGCTCAAGGCCAAAAATTTGAAAGGCAAGGAAATATAATAATTACAACATGACTTTTTTGTGTTTAACTTTATGACCAAACTATAATTAAATCAAATGACAACTGAACTAAGGAAACAACCTTTTGATATGCTGGGAAAAAAGGGGGAGAAAGATTTTGAAAATTAATAACGTGAATAGGAAAACAACTGAAAATAAATAACTTTACACAAGATAGGATGAAAATGAATATTTTGCAACACGCAACGCAAGGAATCAAAAGAAGTCCCCATTCAAATGCATTGATCGTTCAAAAAAGGGGGTTCCAACACCCGGAACCCGCCCCCCCCCTTTTTGGATCCGCCACTGCAATACACAAATCTAGGACAATTGTTAATATATTTCTGTGTTATCAGCACCTTAAACATCTATGTATTTCATAATACATGTATACTGTTAACACAATAAAAAGTTCAATTGTATTAGGGAATATCAGTTCTAGTGGTATAAACATATAAAGTTAAGTCATTCAATAATGATAAAAATTATTGTTTTTTTTATTGTCATAATTTTATAATTGGACACAATTAATACAGTAACTTGTGACAAATACAAAATATGAACAATACACATGCCCTATCGCTTGTGATAAACACTCAATGGAAACTTGTAATCAACTATATTTAAATAAAAAAAAAAAGAAAAAAATAAGATTTACTTGTTTTTATTATTAGAGGTGATTTTTTTATTTTCCCAACTACAAAATTTAGTAAGATCAATTTTACAAAGTTAAATGTTGGAAAATACTGTTCTTGATATATATGACTTTCATATGATACTGTCAATGATGATTTAACCTTGTCTGAAGGTTGTCCTGAATAACTTTTGATCATCTTACAGACACTTTAAAATATTATACCATCGTATTTTTTTATACATTTTATATTGTTATAAACCCTGATTCCAAATGTTTTTTTTTTACCTATTGCATCAGTAACAAATGTATCCAATTTGTATTTTATTAAGAATGTATCACGTGCATAAGTTTACAGGGGATTCTCACATCTTGTGAATCAATTATTAAAAACGTCAACATACATTGTATTTCTTTTTGTCAAAGTATATTTTACATTTGTATGATGTCACTCATTTCCCTTTTCGCTATAAAATATGTTGCTGTCGTTGTGTAAGTTAAATTTAACATGTTTACTTTTAAAGAAAATCGAGTATATTGTAGAATGTTTTTGAATACACCGTATACGGATGAAAATGCAAATATATGTTTTTCTCAATGGGAAAAGTTTATTTTTGACTGATCGTGAAAGATGAAGTGAATGGGAATGACGAACACTACGTACATGTACAATTCTTTATAACGCTGCTTCAGAAGTGCTCAATTTGTAGTCTTTTTGGCGTATTATTGGTTGGAAGTGATTTTAAAGCATTCAAAATTTAAATGTCAAGATATGTCAAAAACAAAATTATATGGAAATCTGGACTTTTAAAGACGTTGCTTATCCATTTATAAGAATGTTACAACAGCATGGCTTCCAGGAATGTACATTCTTTCCCCCAGACGACAGCTCAGTTTGCAAAAATGACACAAAATCATTAAGAGATCCAATGGAATATGAAGGCAAAAGATTGTCAACTTTCGCAACATTTCCAGATATTCCTGGTCTTTATGCAACCAAACTTGCAGGAGCTGGTTTCTATTTTTTACAAAAAGACGACGAGGTTTGCTGCTTTAAATGCAGAATTACATATAAAAATTGGAACCCGCATGATTCGCCTATAAAGATTCACCAACAAATTTCTCCGCTTTGTGATTTTATCAAACATGTCGCCTCTAAATACATTGAACATTCACAACATATATCAGAAAGTATAGCAAACAATGGTACATGTGATATTTCTTACGTAAGAACTGAATGTGATCAAACATCGCACGACAAAAATAAACTGCCGGTTAATAGTAACAATCCTCAACAGAGCTTACATATACTCAATGGTGGAACAGTTTCTCAAAGAATTCAGGCAAACTCAATTAATCAAAATTCAAATAACTTCAGATGGAATGTTCCAAATACTTATGGTGGACGTGTTCCAACTAATCCTTGTCTTGTAAATCAAAGTCTAAACAATACTACAGACAATGTTTCTAACACTGATATTACCAGGACAGAATCTTACCAAATATCCAACAATTACTCAACTAATGATACTAACAGCTTGATTCCAATTTCACACACTGATTTAGAGACTTTAAATAGAAATGCAAGCACACCAAACAACCAATATTCAGGTCAAATAACTACCACTGATAGATCTAGCAAAGCACCAGTTAAACAACCGATGATGGGGATATGTGTTGATAACCCAAAGTATCCAAAATACGCGATCAGAGGATCTAGACTGGACTCGTTTAAATATTGGCCAACATATTTGACACAGTCACCAGACGAAATGGCAACCGCTGGATTCTTTTTCACAGGTAGAACTCTTCTTTTTTTAAATAAAATAGTAAAATATGTCGGTATCATTTTCGAGTTTTATAAATATAGAATATCAAAATGGATTAAAAAAATTAACAGTATCTTGACCCGAGAACACAGTTATTTCGTATTGCATTTCTTTAAGACAACAAATGAAAACTATAATAAAAAAAAAAAAAAAAAACACACCTGCGATTTCAATAATAATTTTAAAGTGTGGTGTACTGCTTTTGGGACAAATTATATCAAAATTATAGACAATGTTATCAGTTCTAACTCAAGATATGTACAATTTTATGTTAAGGGGTCTTGAATTCTTTCTTCAGTCCAGTACTGGCTAGGGGAAAATACGGATTTTGTTTGTTATTATTGCTGTTACAAAATATTAGAAATTATTTTAAATTAAGAAATGTATCTCCCTCATGCAAAGCTCTGGTTCCTTGTCCGGCTTTGGCTATACCTTGTGTATCTTTTTAGATTATAGCTTCTCATCTTTTTAATAAGCTTTTGATTTTCAAATATTTTGGCCTCGACCATTACTGAAGAGACATTTATTGTCGAAATGCGCATCTGGTGCAGAAAAATTGACACCATGAATGCTGTTACTACCGATTGGTCGATGCCTCTGCTGTTGGATTGTTAGTCCCCGTGGGTATATACCAGCCCAGTATTCAATACTTCGGTACTGGCATGAAAATACGATTGTTTTCATTAAAACAAATTTCTGTTACAAAATGTTAGAAATTATTTTAAATTAAGGAATGTATCTCCTTCGATTCATGCAAAGCTCGGATTCCTTGTCCGGCTTTGGCTATACTTTTTGTACCTTTTTTAGCTCTTCTTCTTTTTAATAAGCTTTTGATTTTCAAATATTTTGGCCTCGAACATTACTGAACATAAAGAAATAAATTTGCAAAGGATATGAAAAAAAAATGCCAAGTAATACACTGTCAACACTAGGGACTATGTCTCCGTTAACCGCTAGATAAAGTAATTTATATTAAAGCTGGAAAATCCGTTGGTAAAAATTAATGGGTCGCTTGCGATTATAAAAGAGAAAAAAACTCACACAATCGAAATTTAAGAATAAATTGTAACACATATGATAAAACAATCAGGATTCATAGTAAGTTACGAATTTAGCGTTGTCAGTTTACTTTCGACTAATGAGTTTGAATGTCCCATTGGTACCTTTCGCCTCTCTTTTTCATATCATTGACATTTGTATGTTCAAGGTAATGATGATCATTGTCGCTGCTTTTTCTGTGGAGGAGGATTAAAAAACTGGGAACCAGGAGATGAGCCTTGGGTAGAACATGCTCGCTGGTACCAGAAGTGTGATTTTGTTCGACAATGTAAAGGCGATAGTTTTATAGGAGATGTTCAAACAAACAAATATATGCCGACTGAAATTGTGAAAAAGGTAATTTTACAAATTTTATTTGTTACAACGCAAATAAGTAAATTAAGCGACTCTCTTAAAGTATTAATGTATATGTCTGTACCCTAAATATCGCTGGAGAATATACAATATGGTCATGTGTCGTCTTGTTCCGAACAGCAGTAAACCCTTGCCAAAGTGAAGCGTCCGTTTGGCTGTGTGGGATGTATACATACAAATTTCCCGTCCTTCATCCCGGACGGCCCTTATTACAGAATCTACCTATTGTTTTTTATTGTTGACTTGTTTTCGTCCTGAACATCCGTGAAATATTTGCCACTGGACATAAGAAAACTACAATATCAATGATACTACTTTGTATGTCTGCAAATCAAAATTATAGGATGAGGTGCGTTTTATTTGTACGTTCAACTTTATTCAAGCTGTGACAGGTTATACAGAACACACACAAATACATGTGCAGTACATTAGATACAACTTTACACAAGCGGGTACAGACAGCACTTTAATCAAGTGTAGGCAAGTCAAGTTAATAATTGTGCATTGTGATATTTGACCAATGTGTACCACATTTATTTGTAAAATTACAGAGTAAGCTTCCAAGTTCAAAAAGGCCATTGGGTGAATTTAAGAACATTCCTGCAGTTAGATCTGTAACAGAGTTTGGATATGATGAAAAGTTAGTTAAAGAAGCTTACGAAACCCTTCAAAAAGCAGGAAAATCAGGTATGTATTACTACTGATAGAAATTTAAAGAGGACAGTTTTACTGACATGTTCAATTCATATAGTTCCGGTTTTGTTATCATAAGAAAATAGATTAAAATGCAGGAATACAGAGTAAAGAAATATTTGTTATTCCTCAAGTTTTTTCTCATATATATGTTCATGATGGCACAAAAATTACTCTGCTAGTTTGTAAGTGATACTTTCTCATGGAATTAATTGCAGTCTTCTAAAAGAGTATGGATTCAGTGGTCAAAATAATCAATTCAATACGAACAAGTTTAGTTATCAATGTCAATGTTTGTTTTTTTATTTTTTTTCATGTTTCGGAAGTACAGTTCTATTCTTTAAGGTACAATGTTCTAGTGTCACAAAGTCTAAAATTTACTGATAAACGCGGAAAACGCTAATCTCGTACGAATGTTAGTATGGTCAAAGTCTTAGAATGTTGAGGTTTGTATTGTTATAGATCATACTGACTGTCATTCAATAAGTTGTCATTGGGAGTAAAGTAGCTATAGGTTATTGCAAAACACAACTTCAAAATTTATAAATACACAAACGGTGTGCCTCTTAAAAAGTATATAAATAGCTTTTTTAAGTGTCTTATTTAATTTTCAGTTAGCTCGGTCATTGACAAAGGGTTGATGTATACTTAAAACATTTCGCTTTTCCAAAAATCTAATGCATTTAGGGTAACAAAATATTCTAAAACGTACACCAAACTGTTTTGATTAGTTAAAAACGTGATATGGCCACTCCAAATCGATTCATAGGTTTTTTTTACAAAACTGCTGTCTTCAATTTCGGAAATTTATATTATATATAATATATATTAAAGTCCAACGAACAAGTATTCAATTTACAGTGCCCTAAACAATGGGGTACGGGCATTGAAATACCAGTTGCACTTTAGATTCCGAAAAAGCTAACTTTTTTATATTTTATTTACAAACATCTTTAGCGAATACACAAGTATATCGTTTCATTCTTATCTTTATCGTTTCTATGTATTATATGTTCATAAGTTTTCTACACCAAAATCTGCATACACCTATCCGGGTCCTATGGTGGATCTGTGTCACGTTTATTCAGATTAACTGAATGATGATAACATTATTTTTTTTGATAATAATAATGAATATAATTCCAGTCTCAAATCTATGTTTTAATGACCTGTCTTGTAGATATCACGATTACCGGGCTCCTTGAAGCTGTTTTCAATTTAGAGGAAAATTCGAAACATACCCAAGAAAATTCAAATTATAACCAACAGCAAATGGAAAACTCGCAATCAGCAATAGAATCTGCTAAAAGTATAGCAAAGCAAATTACAAACGAAACAACAAGCGATTCAGAGCCAGAATGTATGTATTTCCACTATTATATGCAAATATTTGTTTTAATGGAAAAATTGCAATGTAAAATTAAGAAGATGTTTAATGATTGTTAATGAGACGACTCTCCACCAGCGACCAAATGACAAAAGAGGTTAACAACTTTAGGTCACAGTACGGCCTTCAGCAATGACCAAACCCATTCCGTATAGCAAGCTATAATAGCCTAGAACTGACAAATGTAATACTGTGTAAAAATTCAAACGAGAAAACCTACGTCCTGATTTATGTATAAATCAAAAGACAAAAACAAATGTCCATACACGTATGTATATTGTATGGATAATTTTAACCCATTTCAGACATTAATGATCGTGTGTTTTCCTTTAGAATTTGTTTTGTTTTGTTTTGTGATATAGACTTGTTGTATAACTGGCCTTTAGATTCATATAAATGTTATGTATGGAATCGGCAGCAGAACCAATCAACAAAGTATGATATTACAGTATTATAAATGTATTGCCCATATATGGCCAAACTGATTCGGGAATAACGATGTCGTTTATCATCGAGTTAGACTCGAGTGCACGTTAATATGCAAGTTGAAGTTCGAGGGAAAGGTAGTTTTGAAGTGAAACTTTTGAGTTCATATTCGAGTTTGAGCTATAAATTTGGAACTAACAGACAAGTTTGAGTTCGAGTTCGAGCTTGTGTTCGAGTTGAAGTTCAATCTACAGTTTAATATCGAGTTAAACGTTGACGTTTGTTTAATATTTATACTAGTAACTCTCACCACGCTCTAATTTCAAATCCGACTATAAACTTAAACTCTGAACTCGAATATTTAAACACGATTTTTGTATACTAACTTGAAATATTCTCGATATTATATTCGAACTTCAATTCAAACTGAACACTCGAACTAAAACTCGAAATGATAACTTAATGCTTAGCCACTTTCCAACAATCAAACATACCGAAAACTGTTTTGTTTCAAATTTAAAGTATTTTTTTCGAGAGGATACTTAATGGGTTGCTTAAACAAATGGAATGAATACATTTTAAATTAAATTTTATTAATTCCAGTGTCAGTGAGAAGTCTTGAAGAAGAAAATCAGAACTTGAAAGATCAGCAGACTTGTAAAATATGCTTGGACGAACCAATTGCAATTGTGTTTCTTCCTTGTGGTCATTTAGCTGCTTGTGGTAGATGTGCGCCTGCGCTGAGAAGATGTCCAATATGTAGAGCATTCATCAAAGGATCAGTAAAAGCCATAATGTGCTAATGTCTTTAAAATGTATAGAAATGACAAAAATTCACAAAATAAATCTTACAATATACATGTATACTGTAAGTTATACAGTTAGCAAGATCACGACGTAAACAAATTTAAGACCAGTTCTGCGAGTTCTTCGTGACGCTTAGACTATATGATGCAACGACTTGACTGTGTGGTGAGCATTTTCCGTTTGGCTATGCAGTATGGATCGATACAAAGCAACGTACGAGAGATGCATACTATATTAGTTTACTGGTAATAACACGCGTGTCGTTCCAGTACTATAATCAATAATACTTTTTTCGACACTATTTTGTTAAATACAACTTCCAAATTTTGTGATTATAAAGGGCATCAACCAAACTGTTTGGTGAATAAAACGTGAATGTCTGGACCGTCATTGTTTTTTCATCGGCTGAGATCGACATTGAGTGAGTTGTCGTTTTGTATAATCCGAATATATTATTTTCTCTAACCAAAATTCAGAACAGAAGCTTGTTTTATATTTGATTAAAGGACAATTTCAACACGAAAGATCGAATTCCTTATGAGTTTTGGTAGAATGTGTTTGTATATATATTCGGTATAAGAGTAACCGAAATAGATTTAAATATACCTCTATTTGATATCATTGTTGACTACATACATAAATATTATGACAAAAATAAACTAATATATCATGTACATTGTATTTATTTTAAAATTGTCTATTTGAAACGAAAAGATTGAATATTGCTTATTACTAATTACAATTGTTTGCTTATTTTTAATGACCATTTCCAACAAGATACATCGAACGATTATTTAGTTTGTGATAGTTTCCAAACCAAAAATCGAATGATCTTAGACTATAGGTTATTTTCAGAACGTTTATCCAAAAAAACCCAAGAAAACGCCTTGGTTTTTTTTACCAATAACAACTCATTTCATGAAACACAGAATGACGAAATGTCCGCGTCTTGTTTTTGAGATATAAGCTTTTGAAAATGTTGCTTGAAATGATTCTCTCTATATTTTTATAAATTTAACATTGGAACCTTTTTTCTTTCAAAAACTATGAAAACAAAGGATTTTAACTAGATTTCCAATATGGCGTTTTAAAATATATGTTCTAAAATTATGTAGAGAAATCAAGGTTAAGAGGACAGAATTTGAAAAACAGAGCATTCCGAATTAACATCTGACAAGCACGACGGAAAATCCGTATTATTTATCTTACGATTTCACACTACTGTCGACTGATTTTGCAAACAATTATAGATCTCAACGTCTGTTAGAATAATTATTAATAAAGAATGAGTTTAAAATTCTAAATTTGGAATCTGATGATTTCAAAAAAACTAATAAAAATCTATTTTTGTTGGCGTAATGTTGTCTTTTAAAACATTTTGTTTGTTTGTTTGTTTTTCGTTTCTTTTTTTCTTCTTTATTTGATTAATATATGTTTTTGATACAAATTATTTTATTATATAAATTAACAATACAAGTTAATCTTTCATTCATCCTATCATTTATTATAAACAAAGTGCTCGAAATGGATTTCATGAACTTTAAAATCACGATTGTTGCTAAGATTTGCAAAACAAAACATGATACAATATAAAAAATTCAAAATATGAATAAAGAATAGGCAAATATGGACAGTATATAAGTACATAGTGATGATTGATTTCTCCATAGACAACGACTTCCATAGATGCATGCATGTACATTTGACCATGGAAGTATTATATTGACGTCAATATAATACTTCCATGATGTGACCTTAATATTCCAAAACTTTGGTGGGAATTTTCAGATAGCTATTCAGATACGCATGTTAATTTCAAATACAGGATGTTTACAGGCAACAAAGTAAATATTGAAAACACGCGTTGAATTATGCATTTTAACCTCTTTTGTACACTTCAATATAAAACCATATCACACGGAACCATGTGTGTCTATACATCCCAACAACCATCATCAAAATGGTTGTCGTTCGTCGTTTATACCATCTTCATTGTTGCTTCCCGTCATCGTTTCTACCATAAGGAATATCGACAATTACCTTATCTTTCTAGAAGTATTTCAATCCGGCAGTGATCATTTCGTGTGTTGCTATGTAGAGCTACTTTTCCGTGTTAAAAAAAATATAAACACACTGAAAACTAATTAAGGAATTGATAAACAGTAAGATTTAAAAGACAAATATAGAGCAGCAGTAGAGGCAAAACGTAATGTCTATAAGGAAATTTTAAAAAGTAGAAACCGAAACATTTCAATGTCTAAGGACGGATGTTGATACATAAACATTGAATATGTAATCTTAGTAATGTACAAAACTTGAAAAGCGGACAGATTTTCTACAAATAAATACATTTTAAGGTGGTACCTAACACTACAGAGATAACTCTGTAAAAATCAGGTAAACGTTTTAATAACGTTGTATTGTAAAGGAAATATTAAGCTTCTCAATGATCAAAATTAGTGTTTGTCAAACTGCTATATAACCAATGAAATTTTTCTGATAAAGTGGTTGGTTCAAATTTTTTTAAATTTTTATATTTTTGTCAAAGGGTCAAAGTAAACATTTTGTCAAAATTTTATGAAAATTAAACGAGCCAAATTAATATTAGTCAAGGTGTTGGGTACCACCTTAAGATAGAAACCGAAATGGATCAAGATTTAAGGAAGGATGCTGGTACATAAACATTGAATATGTAATCTTAGTAATATACAAAACTTTAGACAGAGGACATATTTTCCACCCTTTGTAACAGTGAAATTTTTACCAATTACTAAACAGATATTAATACATATACATGTAGGACTTAAATACTTGCTATACAATTTAACAAAACTGAAAAATATGCAATTTGATTTCAGTAAGTTTTAGCATTTTAGCAAACACGTTTTCTTGTTTTTCTTTTTTTAAGTTTTTTAAAAAGACGTTAGTTGACAAATTTAAAAAAAAAAGTATGTTATTTCCTGTTTTGTAGATTAACAATTATGTCTAAAGTTACTATAAACAGGAAATTCAACGTAATAATTACATTTCCTAATTTTATTATTGTCATTTTGATAATTTATTCAAGATAAAATTGAGAATGGAAATGAGGAATGTGTCAAAGAGACAACAACCCAACCAAAGAGCATAAAACAGACCAAGGCCACAATTGGTCTTCAAAACAGCAAGACGTCTCGCAACCGGAGGCAGGCTTCAGCTGGACTCTTAACAAAAATATGTACTAGTTCAGTAAAAATGAACGTCACACTAAATTCCGAAACATATAAATGAACTAAAATAAAAGAAAATTATACAAGACTAACAAAGGCCAGAGGCTCCTGACTAGGGACAGGCGCAAAAATGCAACACGCATACATGTAGTAAAACATGTTTTGTGAGATCTCAACACTCCATCTTTACCTCTAGCCAATGTAAAATAAACAAACACGCAGCAATACGAACAGTAAAACTCATTTTTAAAGAAGTCCGAATCCGATGCCAGAATAGATAACAGAAGAAACTAAGCAAAATGACAATGATACATAAATTAACAAAACAGTTACTGACATGCCAGCTCCAGACCTCAATTGAACTGATTGATAGATTATGTCTTCTTCAATTGAAAATGCAGCACAATCCCTCCCGTAAGGGATTTAGTATCATTTCATCATAAAATATATGAGAAGAACATAACCTGTATCATGCCAACAACTGGTTTTAGAATAAATGCGTTTATTTCCGATGGAAACACCCTATGGGTGATCGAATCAATATTATTTCCAAAATATGCCATCTTCAATGACCTGACAACAGTATCGCAACTATATCCCTTCTGGATAAGTCTGTTTGAAGGTTTGGTTAGCTTTTGAGGTGAATGATGACATTTCTGTTCTTTGTATAGAATTTTACCATAACAGATTTGATGTGAAATACCTGAACATATAAGATGTCTGCATGTTGACTTATATTTACGAATGATGTCCTTTTACCGATGATAAAATGTTAGTGAATGTTTTGACTAACTACCTAAACTGTTAATTATAATAAACTAGGGGAACAGTACAGTACATTATCATTACCATTACTGCAAACTTCTTTTAAAATATTCATTTTGAGTTAAAATATAAACATCTTGTGCTAACTTTAATGATGACACGCTGAAAGTACAGGTCACTAAATGAAAAAGAAGGACACTGACTTAATTAATTGTATAAGGTCCAATGTTCGGGTTGAAACACAATTCATAGAACTTTTATGAGTTCTTAAATTTCTATAAACAGTAGATTTTTTAATTTGTGTACTACATAATTTATAATACATGTTGCCATTTACTCCGAAATATAATTAAAAGTAAATACATAAAATTATGTTAGGTCAATAACTTTTTCTAAGGATCGTTTAAACTTCAACTTTAACTATTATGAATGTTTTGAATTTCACCTTAAATATATGACAATAACCTTTGACCTCCAATTGGTGTCGTGCGCTCTAAAATGAAATGCAGAATAATTTTATATTCAAACATGATGTGATCTGCATTTATTGACTTTGACACCGGGGACAGCACTCAAAGCTCAAATATATGAATCGTCAATTGTGTCGCCTGTCTCTCAATGGACATAAGCAGAAAAGTTGTGATTTCTGAAGAAACCAAAACATTACTCGGATAAAAAAATACACAGGCAGGTGCATAACTTTTTTCATGCCCTGAACAAGAAACTGCGTTTTTTTTTCCCTTCAATTTTGTAAAATCTATTTGAAAGAGTTGTTGATTTACAGTAAGATATAAGAAAAATGGCACTGTCATTTTTTTTTTTTTTTTTTGGTATGGGAAATTGCAATTTGGTATGACAATAAGAAGATGTAGTATGATTGCCAATGAGACAACTATCCACCAGAAACAAAATGACGTGGATCGATGTAAGCACTTAGTCAACAATAATAAAAACCCAAATGGCATACGCTGAAAAATGGATTGTGCATTAAAAAATGTGAAACATTTCAAACAAGAAAACCACTGCCCTAATTTATATGCTGTAACAATAAACGAAACCAAATATGACATACAGCTACCAACAAAAACCACTGGAAAAAAGGCTCCCGGCATGGAACAGGCACATAAAAATGTGGAGTTTAAATATGTTTTTAGAGCTACGTGTAGTTCATCCCCTTACTCTCGACATTAGTGTAGAAACATTAATTGGAACTGATTAGACACACTAAATCGTCACAAATTTGTCAAGTAGTTTGTCAAAGTACAAGATTGACACTGTGACCCGGATGACAACCGTTACGTAAGACGACAGAAGTCAAATAAAATACATTTGATTCGAAAAAACGAAGTTTTTGGCAAAAAAAAAATGACAGGCACTGCTCTTGAATTTCATCCATGCAAATCACATTTTGATGTTAGTATACAACATAGGAATGTTACATCTTAGACTAGTCATCCTGTTTGATGGAAACAGTATAAAGATACATAAAAAGCCTAATTGCTACGAGTCTAGTCTGGGGTTTTCCGCAAAATTAAATGGGTTTCTTTTCAATCCTTAAAAAGGAGTCAACATAGACTCAGGAACTTTCATAATTACCGACATTACAAACTGACGTTCTACATAAATTCAGATTCCTTTATTGTAGTTTATCAGGTTATAGTTCATGTATTATCACAGTTGTAGTGGAAATAAATATTACGCAAGTCCTCACTAAAAGGAAAAGACCATAAACAAAATTATAATCAATTCAAGCTTACTGAAT